ATGAATATGAGGCTGAATGAATAACATTCAGTGGCAAAAACAAATCTGACCTTTATTATAATTTTTATTTTGCATTTTTTACGCTCTTGTTATGGATATCTTATTTGATTTGGAAAGTATCCTCTTCCCCAAGTACAATTGGATCGTGTACATGCGTGCTCTTCACAGAGTGACACGTGGAGTCTTATCTACGCGTACGGGGAAACGGATCCAGATGAGGAAGATCCCTTCTACCATGGACGGGACCGTCGCGGCGTGCATGCCATCAATCTCCTCGACCCACAAATCGGTACAGTTTCACGCGTATCATGACACGAACCTTTCATTTTTGACAAACTGAAAAAAGATTTTTTCCCTCCACTTGACGCTGACAGGGGATATTCCGGACGAGCCAGACTTGAAAGAGTGGGGAATATTGAACGACATCATCATCCCGCCCATTCATACATCTTATTGGTGCAGCGTATTCAAAGCACCTCAGATCGACACCAAGCAACATATTATTGGGGTACCAAATTTTGGAACGGGTAACATACATGTTGTCCATAAAGTGACTGTGTGACACTTCTTTAATTTTCAACATGAAGAAATTCATTTTTGCTTCTGAAGACTCAATACCAGACCATCAGAATATTTTCATGAAGTGCAGTCATAATTCACCTTCTCCAAATCATTGAACATTACAGTACCTTCCGTGGGTAACGAAGGGGAACGAGGAGTACGTGCACCACTTCACGTTGTTGACATGTACAGTGAACGAAGGCGAGGAGTCTGTCCTTGAGCAGTTCATGCAGGATTATCCTAAGGGTTCCAATTGTTTCGATCCCGCTGCCTACATCATCTATAGTAAATGCCGAAGCATCCTGTCGGCCTGGGCGGTCGGCGGAGTGGTAACTTTCCCCTTCCTCCTTTCATTTATTTTAACGTTAGTCACTTTCTTTAATCCAGCTTTAATCCACAGGTGTTCAGCTGCGCTTGACTGGAGTTCACAGAACTAAAAAAACGAGCATGAAGAGGGTTTAGATGGAAATTCGGACGGACAGAGGAATCGAAATTTATTATTTGCTTCCCTCATTCAGCAAAAAACGTGAGAAAGATAACCGATAAGATGCAGGTCTTTGCTCATGGAATGGCTACCTTAGCTTGTTTTGCTGCTCCAAGATGCATTCATGTCTTTTCAAAATGCACGCGAAAATTAAAACTTGGACAATATTCATCGATGGCATCATGTATAGCCCCAAAATACCATTCAAAAAGAAAAACTTGAACAGTGCAGGCAAGAACAGGAGAAGGCGCTCGCCCGAACGGATCCCGCACCCAAGGCAGTCTGGCCTTTCTTGACACCCGTCTCACACATTCCCTGTAAATCTGTCTCTTTCCCTTATTACTTGGACACGAATTCAAATAGAGGAGGGTCATGTGGAGCTCAGCCTCAATTG